TGTATTAGTATATTATTATAGTGTTATATTTCAATTTCACAAAGAAACATGCAGCATTTTTTCCAAGCAATAATCAAAGGACACATTTAATTTATAATTTGTCTTAAATCTCATTTTGGAAAAAAAAATAAATAAATCGTGAATCGAATCGAATCGTGAGTTGAGTGAATCGTTACATCTCTACTTACAGGCTATCTGCACAGAATGCCCCGAATGCACATGAACGTTTCTGCGCGGCTCTGAATGAACTCCTTTTGTGAACGTGTTCTTCGCACAACAACGTGCAGAAACACAGCAACTAAACTCTAAAAATTTATTATAATAGTGTTCATCGGTTGAGATGCTAAACAAATCGCGATTCAGTTAGGGGTAGGAGTTTATGTGAATGCATGTCTGAGGGGAACTTGCTGTCTTTAGAAAAGTTTAGATGGTATTTTTTCTTGTCGTCTTGCCTCTGTATAACGCATATTAAAGTTCATAAGTTCAGCGCTGCTTTGTTTACAGTGGAAACCAAGGAAACGCTTTAAGCGCCACCTGCTGGCAGAGAGTGAATCTGCGTCTCGTTCAGCTCGTCTGCTGTTTCGGTTTCATGCAGATATTTTTTGTATGGTTTTGAAATGTATAGTTTCACAAAACTGAAGTCGAACTATTCTGTTTTTGTTTCAAATCTCGAAATTATACATAAAAATTTATTATAATAGTGTTCTCATTATAATGTTATGTATATGACGGTCCCAGTCATAGTTATTACTAATATTATGCATCGTTGTTTGTCCTGCTCGCGGTGCGACAATTTAGATATTAAATCTTGTTTTCTGAAAAATGTATCAAAATTAAGTGAGTATATGCTTAAAACATAAACGCATATCTGCCACTGGGGTAAGAAAAATAAACTTAATTCAAAGGGTTAGCAATATAATTTATTTTAAATTATTTGTAACGACTTGATGCGTAATGTTCTGCTTTTACTTAAACCCTGTTTAAGTAACTAACATATAAAATAATAGTCAGAAAAATCTGGCTATTTAAATAGAATAGTTTTATCAAATATTTAGACAGAATCTAAAAAATAAATGTATGTTTTGTATCTTTTTTTTTTTTTTACATCAGGCTTTTATGGCTCATATATTCTGATATAGTGAGAATAAGGGAGGAAAAGAACAGCTAATTTTTATTCTGAGGCCCAAACTGAGCAAAAATATGAAATTTGGTCCAGATGCTGATGTATTTATTTTACTCACAATCTTTAACTGTTTAATCTGTTTTACTCTCTATAGATCGAGTCCAATCAAATATTTAGACAGAATCTAAAAAATAAATGTATGTTTTGTATCTTTTTTTTTTTTTTACATCAGGCTTTTATGGCTCATATATTCTGATACAGTGAGAATAAGAGAGGAAAAGAACAGCTAATTTTTATTCTGAGGCCCAAACTGAGCAAAAATATGAAATTTGGTGCAGATGCTGATATATTTATTTAACTGTTTAATCTGTTTTACTCTCTATAGATCGAGTCCATAATGATGAAGCTTCAGAGACTACAGCACAAAGCGGTTCTGGATGATGATTATGACACAGGTCAGACATTCACATGCTCAGTGTTGGTTTGATCATTTATTTGATGAAGCATAATGGTTTCTCTAGCTAATAGTTTGTGTATATTAAGTGTAAATATGGAAACAGAATGGATTTCATATTCCAAAATATAATTAACACACTAAAACTGAAGAAATTATGTAGCCATTGCTTCACATTTTAATCTAAAAGTATGATCACACTATATATCTGTATCTGTAAATATCAGCAGTTTTTTGTCCTAATAAGTCCACAGCTGATGACAGAACACACATTCATGTGGTTCAAACACACCCAAACACTCCCAGCTGATTATCTGTACTCAGCGATAGCTAGTGACCCTAAACCAAACCAAAAAACATTAGCTTGTGATTGCTGACTTGATAGCAGGAATATTCCCTTTTTGCATCCCACTTGTTTGTTTGATTAGCAGTGACACACAATCCACCTTGTCTGACTCAGTGATGTTGAACATTTCTGTTCATACAGTTCCTATTACATCCAGAAATGTGCATTACCATTCTACATATTTTATTTCAGTGGTTTATAGTATGCATACTGTACACTGAATTTGTTTCAAAGATTTCAGATCCCATTTCAAATGTGTATCTATTATTTATTTTGTTAACTAAAACTAAAACCATGAAAAATTTTTCTTTCCTTGAAATAAAAGAAACATTATCTGAATATAATATAATATATAAAAAAACTGAAATTTATTATTGTAATTATTTTTCAGATTTTATTTAAGTTTCTAAGGCAACATTTCTCAAAATACTAAAATAACTTAATAAATAAAATAGAAATATAAAAAATAAATAAAAGGAAAATAAATAAATAAACTTGAAAAATACAAATTAAAACACTATTACTAAAAACTTTAAAACTTGAAAGTGAAAAGAAAATATCAAATTAATAAAACAGAAAATATCAAAATATTAGCAAATATTATTTTATTAATGCATATAACAGAAAATATCAAAATATTAACAAACTTTTGTAGTATGCTGTTTTTAAACAGTATTAGTATAAGGTGGAGATGGATCTGTGATTCAGTGTTGAAGAGCGCCATCTGCTGGTCATGAACACAGTTATCATACAGTCCCAGTGTGCTGTTCATGGAGTGAAGCAGCAGTGTGTCATGAATTTAATTTACTGTGTAATTCCTTCATCCTTCGCTTCATTACTCACACTGAGTTGCTGTACTCGAAAGTACCCTCTGTATCTCCGGTGTGTGTCTGGAGAATCTTCTTTAACTTCTTCTTTATCAGATCAGATGATTGACCTACATTTGTCAGCTGGAAGTCTTCTTTTTGCATGATGAACCTTGTGACTTAAAGCGCTAGTCTTTTCCCAGACCCTGATTTGTGTGTGTGTGTGTGTGTAAAGTGGGTCAGTTGTGTTTGTTTTGTACTGTCTGTCTAACACTCACAAACACACACACAGAGACATTTCCTGCAGTGTTTTAGTTGCAGATTAGAGCGCAAATGCTTCAAAGGTGCTCGTTTTGGGCTGTAATCAATAATAGATCAATAATCGGATAGGCTGGTTTAAATTTGTCACTCCAGGGTCTAGTATTTTTGTCATGTCAAAAATACAGTAAAATCAGTAATATTGTGAAATATTATTACAATTTCAAATATCTTTTTTTCTGTGTGAATATATTGTGAAATGTAATTTATTTCTGTGATCAAAGCTGAATTTTCAGCATCATTACTCCAGTCTTCAGTGTCACATGATCTTCAGAAATCATTCTAATATGCTGATTTGCTGCTCAAGAAACATTTCTGATTATTATCAGTGTTGAAAACAGTTGTGTTGCAAACCATGATACATTTTATTTTTCAGGATTCTTTGATGAATGGAAAGTTCAAAAGAACTGCATTTATTTGAAATAGAAATCTTTTGTCACATTCTAAATGTCTTTAGTGTCACTTTTGATTAATTTAATACATCCTAGCTGAATAAAACTATTAATTTCCTTTAAAAAAATAATTCTTTTTTTGATGCTAACACATCTTTATTGTATCTAAACAACAAATAATCCCTATATATTTGTATTGATATGAATTGAATCCATTCTTCACAACTGAATTCTGAAAATGTCTCGTTTCTAAACCTGACTTGATTTCCTCCAACACTACAGAACACGTCACTGTATTGTATTTGAGGGCTGGTTAGTTGATACTGGCTTCAGAAATAACCCGTTTAAACAGGAAAGCACACAGGTGGGGTGGCAGATCTGCTGGAATGTGTCTAAACAGCACTTCCTGTTGCGTATTGTTTCCATATGTTTATCATCGTACAGTATGGAGTCTGTAACTGAGCTCAGAGACACTCATCATAGGAAAGACACCAGATTATTAATGATCATAATAAAAAAGCTGAAGATGTGCACATTTTGATTTATTTTTATATCGTGTTTTCATTTTGATTTTAAAGTTTTACTAATTTTGATTTTTTTTTTGTCATTTTTATTAGTTTTTTTTGTTTAAATATGTCTATCACTTTTTAAAATTAGGTTTACGTTTTTAGTTTGAGTTATTTTATTGCTTCAAGTTAAACTAAATTAAAATAAAAAAAATGTTACCTTTATTTGAGTTTTAGCTTCAGTAATTTTAGTACTTCAACCTACGCTTATTTTATTTCAGTTAGTTGCCAAGGCAACATTCAAATTTTTAAGTTTTAAGTTTCCTTTTTATTTCAGCTTTATTTTAATTACTGAAAAGCTTACAACAGTTTTATTTTAGTATCACAGAGAAATTATTAGAGTTTTTGTTAATATTTTGAATAAGATTTTATTTTCATATGTTTTGCTGTTATGTTAATTTTAGTTAGTTTTAGTAATTTTGTTATGCGTTTCTGAAATTTGTATTCGTTTTCGTTGTTTTTAAATATATATGTATAGTTTTTTTTCAGGTTTAGTTTTAATTAATCAAGTTAAACTTCATGAAAATGAGAAATGTTACCTTGGAAACCTGCTGAAATATTTGATTTCAAACGTTTTTGTTTTATTTTATTATTACTATTATTATTATTATTATTATTATTATTATTATTATTATTTTATAGTTAACATCTATTTTATTTCTAGTAATTGTAGTTATATATAATAACCCTGGTTTTCAAATATAACACTTTTCTAGTCCTGTTTTGCAGTGGCTGATTATAAATATATTTTAATTTTTTTCAAACAGGCAAAATGGTGAATTGAGTGCCGATCAGGGCTCAGGCAGCTCTCAGAGCCGGTTTCCAACACGAGAGAAACTGTTAGAGGAAAAACAAAGGATTCAGGTGAACAGAAATATATGATCATAGCGACTTAAGACTGCTTTTGTGCTCCAGGGTCACATATGACTAAAGAGTGCATAATATATGCATGTTAATGACTGACTGTCAGCATGAAATCTAATTCCTTTTAACTCGTTCTTAACTTGCAACAGATCTGACTAATCTGTTGTCAAATCTGAAGTTGATCTTAGCTTAGTAAGAGGTTAAATATGTATTGTGCTTCTTCAGAAGGAGATGTGTGATCTTCAGCGGAGGCTGCAGGAGCTGCGGGAGCAGAGCAGAGCTGTGGAGGAGCATCTGGAGCCCGTCCTCAGAGCCTGTGATCCGGCTCAGCTGCGGCTGATGGCTCGAGCGCTGGAGGACATGATCAGCTCTGAACACCGGGCCCAGATCAGTGTGTCTCCACCCGCAGAGATCGTCAGGTGAGTGCAAACAGAGCAGCGAAATGAGGCCTCATATCTCATTTACACACATTCAAACCTGCACGTCACTAATGGTCAAGACCAGGGGCGGACAGTAGTGAAGTATTTTTACTCTGCTGTAAAAGAACTTTCAAGTGTTTTTCTTTAGAAAACTTTACTTCACAACATTCCAAAGCATAATATTGTACTTTTTACTGCACTACGTTTCACATTAAAGGGGTGGTTGATCGCGATTTCACTTTTTTAAAGTTAGATAGTGTGTAATGTTGCTGTTTGAGCATAAACAATATCTGCAAAGTTACAAAGCTGAAAGTTCAATGCAAACGGAGATATCGTCTTTTATAGTTCTGGCAGTTTAATGCCTACAAAAACGGCTGGTAGGGACTACAGCGAGTTGCTTCCTGGGTTCGTGACATCACAAACCCAGATAAACCCCGCCCCCGGGAAAA